TGTGATTTCTCTATCGAAAGAGGGTAGAATTGGTTGGTTAGAATTTAATTTCATCTTATTGGTTGTGTTATTGATACGTTTCTAACTTGCGTTTCCCGTTTCCTAGTGGTTTCCCCTGTTTTGATGATGAATGCCGATCTTTTTTTATATAAATGTAGGAAGCTTGCTCTGTTAACAAATGTAGGCCGGTTACTAGAAAGGCGCGGAAAAGAGTTCTTGGGTTCAAAGTACAGGAATCCGGTTTCGAGCTTCTCAGATTTTCAGGAGTTCTCTGTATCAAACACTGAGGTTTGAATACCATTTGTGCAACCTTCATGGATCGGGTTCATAGTATGTGTTTACTGGAATGTGTAAAAGTTCTCATGTTTCATTTTCAGGTGTATTGGAAAGCTGTTTTGGATGAGTTGAACATGTCGTTTTCAGTACCTCCTCAATGCATTTTAGACAAGAACACATCTGGTGATAACCCAGGTGGTGTTTGGCTTCCTGGAGCTTACTTCAATCCTGCAAGAAATTGCTTGTCTGAGAATTCCAAGAGAAGGTTAGGTGACATTGTGATAAGATGGCGTGATGAGGGGAGTGATCATCTCCCGGTGAATACCATGACACTTCGGGAATTGCGAGCTCAGGCCTGGTATGGCTTCTTCTTTCTTGTTCTTCATCCCTGTGAGCTGTGTTCCCAAGTGTTGTTTTTTCTTTACATATCAAGTAAAATCAAATCTTTGTATTTATGTAGGTTGGCTGCACATGCTCTTAATGCCTTGAATTTGGAGAAAGAGTCGGCAATTGCAGTTGATATGCCGATGAATGTCCACTCAGTGATCATCTACCTTGCCATTGTCTTATCAGGACATGTAGTTGTTTCCATAGCTGATAGTTTCTCTCCACGCGAAATATCAACCCGGCTTAAAATTTCAAATGCCAAAGCCATATTTACTCAGGTAAGCCTCTAATTTTCTCTCGACTCCTCGATGGTTTGAATCAAATGTAGTATTTGTTAACATGCTATCTGAATGGTTCTTGTATAAAGAAATCAATACAAAAATTTGGGGTTTTCATCCAATGCCAGCAATACCTACATCGTTTTATTTTGTCTCATCTCCTCTATCTATATACTTGTTTGTTTACAGGATATGATCATCCGTGGAGACAAAAGCATTCCTCTTTATAGGTGAAATCCTCTAACCTACTCGGTTTAATTTTTTTCCTTTTAGTACTGAATGTTACCATTGTTCTCACCTTATCTTTTCAGTTTTTCAGAAGAGTCGTTGATGCAGAAGCACCCATTGCAATCGTTATTCCAGCAAGAGGGTCCAGCTTCAGCATGAATCTGCGCAAGAATGATTTATCTTGGGACAATTTTTTGGGAAAGGCGAGAAATTTCAGGTAAACTCATGTATGTGTTTGAAAATGTCAATATATCATATATTCATATATATGTATACATTTATTCCTGTATGACACTCACATATACATGTAACACTTTATTGCAGAGATGTGGAATTTATTGCTGTGGAGAAACCAGCGGGAGCCTGCACAAACATCCTTTTCTCATCAGGAACAACAGGTGAAGCGTAAAAAAAAAAGGAAAAAAAAATGCATCTTGGCCTAGTATTACTCGTATTTGTTCTTTGTGGTTTCGGTTCTGAAACTATGTTATGATTCTCCGTATAGGAGAACCAAAGGCCATTGTATGGACAAACAACGCTCCATTGAAATCGGCAGCAGACGCATGGTGCCACATGGATGTTCAGAGAAGTGATGTGGTTGCTTGGCCAACGAACCTTGGTTGGATGATGGGTCCATGGCTCGTCTATGCTTCATTGATGAATGGGGCTTGCATGGCATTGTACAATGGATCTCCTCTTGGTTCGGGCTTTGCCAAGTTTGTACAGGTACTCATATCATTATGATCTCGAGCTCTTAATGTACATCCTTCTAAGCAATACCTCCTTAGATGCGTATCAAAATACGAAGTTCATTAGATGTGTATATGACTGCGTTGAACTGTTGCATGAATCATGATTCATGAATCATTGGAGTAGCTTCAAATGAACTGAAATCTGTTATGTATTTTTTTCTTCTAGGATGCTGAGGTGACTATACTGGGAGTAATACCGAGTCTTGTTAGGACATGGAAAAACTCAAATTGTACTTCTGGATATGATTGGTCTAGAATCCGGTAAGTCCCAGGTCTCTGGCTCTAGAAGGTCTTAAAATATGCATTGAACATTGTTGTTTCGTGCTCTTTTTTCAGATTGCTTGCGAAATACAAGGAAAACTAATTTCTTTCGAACTTTTTGTTAGTTGCTTTGGATCCACCGGAGAAGCATCCAATGTGGACGAGAACCTTTGGCTGATGGGCAGAGCTCATTACAAACCCGTGATAGAGTACTGCGGTGGAACTGAGATTGGAGGCGGGTTTGTCTCGGGATCTTTGCTTCAGCCTCAGTCCCTGTCTGCTTTTAGTACAGCTGCCATGGGTTGCGAGCTATTCATCCTAAATGAAGATGGCTATCCTCTTGTAAGCAACTTAACCCACATTACTCTTTGCAGGATTTAACTCGTATCCTTGTCAGGTTTTGAGTCCTTGTTTCTGCAATCATATTATACTTAAAATCTTTATTACCTATCTTTTCATGGGTTCTAATCTGTATTCCTTTTTTTCTTGTTTTAGCCTCCAAACATGCTGGGAATTGGCGAACTTGCTCTTGGTCCTCACATGTTTGGATCGTCGAGCAAACTTCTGAATGCCAATCACTATGACATTTATTTCAAAGGAATGCCCACATTGCATGGAAAGGTGACAAATACTTACCACAGTTACATCTTACAGATATATTTTCCTGGATTGAGTTTTATCTGTACTGGTTTATATTAGATTTTACGTAGACACGGGGATGTATTTGAACGAACTTCCAGAGGATACTACCGTGCTCATGGCCGGGCTGATGACACAATGAATCTTGGTGGCATAAAGGTAGTTTTTTTCTCAACAACACCCTTTCTCGGTAGTATCGTGTAGTGACCTGTCTATTGAAATAGATTTTGTTCTTCATTTTTATCGCTTGAACTAGAATCATGGAGTTGTGAGAAAACGTTGTGAGACACTATGGTAACATAAATTACAAATTTCAGTATCAAAGGAACAGAAACGGGCATATGAGCGTAGTTCATTAACCAAGGATTGTTACTGAAACAGGTGAGTTCGGTTGAGATCGAACGGGTCTGTAACCATGTGGATGACAAAATCTTGGAGACAGCCGCCATCGGAGTACCCCCGCCAGAGGGTGGTCCGGAGCAGTTGGTAATAGCTGTTGTGTTCAAGAACCCAGTGCATGATAATGATCTGAACCACTTGAAGAAGTCCTTTAATTCGGAGCTACAGAAGAAACTGAACCCGTTGTTCAAGGTAATTAAGTAAAACCCTTTTCTGGAACAAGATATACAAGCATGAATGGTAAAACATCAAGGAAATAAGCTTTTGAAAACAATCATATAAATACACGAACTTTGAAATTTCTACCCAAATGCATAAACTTGGCAAATATTACCATAAACTCACATCTACTATGAGATATATGCAAAGTTTATATAGGTTTATGACAATGTTTACAAAGTTTATGTATTTTGTTGATTTATATTATGATTTTTGAAAGTTCGTGTTTTTTTTTTCAAGACGTCCGAAAACATTATAATTATGATTTTTAAGATGAGTTTGGTGACGGGGTTCAGGTATCAGACGTGGTATCACTGCCATATCTACCGAGGACGGCGACCAACAAGGTTATGAGAAGGGTTTTGCGCCAACGTCTCGCCGGTCCGGACCGACACTCCAAGCTGTGATGAGGCAATATTCGTCACGTACTCGATCGTTAATCTCGAAATTTGAGATTTGGGCAAAACGTAATTGTTGTACAAATGGAATGAATGAATGATGAATGCTGGATTGGCGTGAATAAATAGTTCTATCGGCGTCGTCGCTTTTTAGCTTGTACATATGCGATCTGTAGTTGCCATAAGATTCCACTATTGGGGCTTTGTAATTGAAAATTATAATATCAAAGTTTTTAAAAAAAGAACATGTCCAACTTCCGAAAACTTACACTGCATTAACAGTTTGTTATATATATATATATATATATATGTATATATTATATGTATATGCTTATGCGCAATGCAATAAAACCAAAAGCATATGCCAAATCTGTGGAAACTGTTATTACACGTGTTAACGGAATTCGGAATCTGAGGCAAAAGGAAAAATTATTTTTCATTTATAATTTTATAATTTGTATTAAAATTCGCTCGGTCGGATTTTTAAGAGGACCGTAAAATTTTATCCAAAAATACATAGAATTTCTAATATACTAACCGACCAGTCACCCAAAGGGATATCTTAGACCGATCACAAACGGCACTCTCATATATTGAAACGACAGAATGGTAAGAACTTCACTAACGTGCGTATTAAGTGTAGAAGTCACATTACTTTCTTAGGAAATGCAGCAGTATCAACTAAACATATTGAGCCACTGAACTTGGAACACAGACAGAGGATCCAAATACAAAAAAAAATCTATCTATATATATATATATTTCCTTAAAGTGACTCAATCCAGGTTTGATTCATTATAACAGGTCTCTCCAAATGTTGTTTACCTGATCTAATCAGAACAGAGAATGGTAACTCAATCACCGCCGACTTGACGCTTCCACGAGTCTTCTACGATCAGTTCATCCACCCCCCACTCCTCGTAACTGATCAAAAGATCATATGATGCAAGTCAAGACAAGAGTAAGAGTGCCAAGTCAACCGAGTGAGCAGAATATGGCCTCATTCCGAAATGAACGGTGATACCCTCATGATATAAGTGACAAAGAAAGATCCCTTCGGGCATGTACGTTGATACCCTCGTGATGTAAGTGATAAAGGAAGATCCTTGTCTAATGGGTTCCATGGGAAACATCAATCTCACAACCCATATGCAATAAAAACTCACCTTCCATCCGGTAGGTAGCGCCTGATCGTGAAGGGTATTTTACGCTCACGCAGCTCTTTCATTGCAATCTGGACAGATTCAAAAATTCGTCACTATCTTAGTAACTACATCTATTGATAAGTACCCATGAAAAGTATGAGACAGGCCAAAAGAACAAAGAAAGACTGTTTAATCAGAATCTAACCTCAAGTGGATCGGTCTCACCCTCCAACTCAACCATGACAGGAGCATTCATGCTGTATCAGCACCAAAGAACAAATGAACAAAATAAAGTGCTTCAGCCAACCCTCGCAAGCGCATAAGATTGGAATAATCGTCTGTGTGTGAGAATATTCACTGCATCGCCTACAATCTTTCAGTTTTGTGATTGAAATTCATAGTTATTTCCTCACAGAAGTCCATATTAGTCTACAATTGAGGTAGTTCGGTGATTCAACCACTCTGTTTACTAAATGTAACCAAGGAGACCAACCTTGTATTTGAGGATGTGTTCTTGATATATTGATATAAAATCAATACCCAGAAAGGTAGAAACCAAACCTTATTTGCAGAGCACGAGTACCAAGGATCCTAGCACGTTCATACTTGGTCATATACTTTGATGTTTTTCGTGGGCGTGCAGTCTGTTCTTCCTCTGCCTTATCATCTGCTTCAAGAGGCTCACCTGGACCATCATCGTTCTCCTTGTTATCCGCATCTTCTTCTATCCCTTCCTGCCAAAGGATGATCAAAACAAGTTATGGCTGCAAATAAAATTCATGGTCATTTCCTACAAAAAAGATTATGAATCCTTACTTCTACTTCAGGCTCCGGCGGCTCATCCTCATACCTGAACAATAATCAATTGAATCGAATCTCATCATTGTCTAAACACCACAATATTCAGCATACAAATACAAAACAGTTGATAAAAAAGATAATTGTTCTTCAGGAAACTGTTGCTGAGGTTTACCGAGAATTTGTTGAATCCCAATCACAATTATATTTACTTCAACATTATCAACAGCAACAACAAAAAAACTAAATTGCTTTCTTGTAACTACGAAAAGAGAAATGTTTTAGGATAATTAGGGCACAGGAGACGAAGAGCATAAAAAAAGCAGCAGCGAACTTTCGCCTTGCAAATTCCTAATACGCAACGTTCTCTCATCAGGGTCTAACAACAAACAAAACCATTGGAAAAGAAAACACCGCTGAAAATCTGGAAAGAACTATATCTCTGTCATACAATCAGAATACCACCGCATGTTTATTCCCTTCGGACTCAGAATCAACACGAATCAATCGCTTTCTGAACACATTAGTTGAAAACTTTCCTCAATTCATATAAAATTTCACCAAACACGACACCGTATATGGATGATTTCAATTTAATGCTGAACAAATCAATCTTCTCCGTTCGACATACTTCGCCAGGAAGAAAACGGGAGTCGCCTTGAACCAAACGAATCATACAGTAAAATACATGAGAGAGAGAGAGAAAGAGAGAGAGAACCCGAAATCATCGACGTCGTTGTAGTCTTCGTCGGCCATGGTAATTAGCACCGTAAGCTTCTCCTTGATTTCCCGCGCTCCCGAGAAACCCTAGGTGAGGAAAGAATTAGAAGTGGATGGAAAACTATAATTTCCTCGATAATTTATTGGCCATAAGGTTTTTCACAATTTCATATATTGGGTTTAAATAGCCCAAATGTTTTATTGGGCCCTATAAATTCGTTGTAAAAAATAGGTATAACAACGCTGAAATTAACTTTTTTAAAAATTCCAATTAAATTTTTAAATAAACTTTATATCAAAACCAAAAAAAATTTAATTTGTATTAATTTAGTTATTTTCACATCAATTTTTAAGATACATTTATAATTTAAATTTATCATTATAAAAAAAAGTAAAACTTCAGCCTAGATAGATAAATAAATAAATATAATAGTTTTCTGTATTAATCTAAAACATTAAATTTTATTCGGAATAAATAAATAATTTAGGTTTCAATTGAAAGTCAATTGGTTCGCGGATGTTTTCCTAAACAATATAAATTCATTCCAAATCCCTACAACCCCATATACAAAAAAAAACAATACATAATTCACCCTCCAACCCAAAAGAATATAACAGAACATTTAATATATTGACCAATAAAACATAAACTTAAAATAACAAAGATTGATTATATATATATATATGTATGTATATATCAGACAAAACGGCGCTTCCATGGGACCTTGTTGTTTCTTCGGGCACAGCAACCAAAAGAGTAGAGCAAGACGACAAGAAGGAGAAGACAAGAATTGAAGACGAGGAGAGACTTCCAATCTCGTTGGAACTCGCTGAGAACTCCGATCTTGCAAGATTCGCACCCGAAGCAGAGTTGGTTCTGCACGTTGCTCCACGCCTTACAGTCTCCGTTCTCCGCATCTGCCATTCTCGGCGGCGGTGCCGGCGTCCACCACGTGGCATTCACCGACTGGAAGCCGCACTCCGCCGGCGGTCGGCAGCATCCAAACTGATGATATTTGCATTTAGTCAGTTCTTAAAAGTTCAAAGCAATATGGTGTTTGATCCTATTGTTTTTTTTCTAATAAAACCTGTCTTAGTTATTTCTTTTTAATCCTCGAATTAATCGACCAACCTCAATAAGACATGTTTTTTTTTCTTCCAAAGTAAAATCTCTGACTTATAATTCTACAATCCATTTATGTAACCCTAACATATTATAAATTCTCGTAGCAACATCTGTTGGTAAATTTGGTTATTATTTCTCGTGGTTGGCTAATGGCTATATCAGGCTTAGAAACAAGTAATCAAAACATGCAAACATATATATATATATATATATATGTATGCGCAAATACACACACATATATATATATGTACCGTGTGTGTGAATCGATAACACAGATATATGCATTAACGTGCGCAGATATTCTTATACACAATCACACGTATATATAGTTATATACATACCTGGACGGAAGAGAGATGGTTGGAGTAAAAGTCAACGCGATGGCCACCAAAACTCTTACAAACCCTAGATTCAGACAAGCACCTCCTGATCCCATCCCAGTTCTTCCCACGAAGTAGATGGTCCCTGACCCAGTTCTCGAGATTGGCGGTCTTCACACGACCAACTCCCTTGCCGGAGAAAGCTTCTCCGGCGGAGTGATTGGTGACGAGGAATACAAAGACGGTGAAGACTATGAGGAAGAGGATGGCAAGGAAGAGGACGATGAGATAGAGCGTCATGATGACGTGGCTACCGTACAGAGCGGCGATGAGGCCCAAGGACGAGACGAAGAAGATGAGAGTTGCTGTTACGATCAGAGGGTTTTGGATGAAGCGTTGGCATTGTGATGGGCCGTGGATGAACACGTAGACAGAAAACCCTACTGCCGTTAAGCCCGCCACCGCGAGGAGGGCGTTCACCGTTATCACGACGGCGTTGCTTAGCCGGAGCATCGTCTGCACCGAGATATAGAGATATAGAGATTCTCCCGGGAGATATGAAGCAGTTTTTTTTAGAGAGAGAGGTGGGTTATGGGAGATCTCTCTCCCCAGATGTCGGTTATATATGTGTTAGAGACGTACGAGGAACAATATGGATATAAAATTATAATCAAGAAAACTATATACCTTTTTTTCGCGAAAAAAGTTTTAAATGTGTTGTAGCTTTTCATTATTCGGTGGTGGGTGTATTATAGTTTTTGGTCAACCTTTTTTATATTGATATTATTCGGGTTAAAATCATTTAGTAATGGCTAGCTATAACCAATCCAATCAAAAATCAAATTGAATGTCATATCAAATATGACGTTTGGTAATTGTCGTTTCTTCTTACATACATATATACATACACAATGAACGGTTTTGTTTTTGTATTTTCTTGCAATATGATAACACCACGTGGCAGGTGTTTAACCCCTTAATTACGTGATTACCACTTCGACGCCTGCCACTACGCCCGACGTGGTTGCCTTTACAAGCGGTGGTTCGGACGGTCTTAGTCAATGCGTTGACTTTGACTGAAAATGTTGGCCAAAGTTTTATTTTTATTTTACATACAAAATGCATGCAGTTGATATTTTGTACGGCAAATTTATTTGAAACCGAATAATTCATTGCTCAGAATTCTCAGTTCATGTACACATATATTCCAATCTCGTGAGCAGGTGTTCTTGCATGTACACTCCATTCTTGACTCTCTGCTTCTCTTCCTCCTTATTTCGTGCTCGTACATAAATCATCACATGCATGCATGCGTCAAATACAATTATTATCTCTGAATATATATATATCACTACAAAAGCCATTTTGCAACGAAATTACTTTGCAACGAAAATTTTTCGTTGCAAAATAACAGTTTTTTTGTAGTGTATATATATATGATTGAAGAGACATGCATTTTATTACAAGACTGTTTGTCTCTACGGATTAGATGTCTGTGAGGATTCATCCTTATTCCCCAACATGTTGTTCAATGCCCCGATGTATGCTTCGACGCTTGAAACAATAAAATCCATTCCCTCTCCTACGCCACTTTGGTTAAGAACCAAAAAAAGTATATATGTCAAAAAAAAACGAATGCATATATATATGGTTTAGTTTTATATATTTTTAAGGGAAAAAGCCCTAAAAAATCCTGAACTTGCAAAGTGCGAGAAAATAAATTTCTGAACTTGCGAGCGTGCCAAATAATTCCCGAACTTGAAAAAAGTGACTTAATAAATCCTAATCTTGTTAAAAAGTGTCATAATAGTCCTTAATATAAAATTATTAGAATAATATGATTTTGAGTCCTCCGTGGCGGGTGACACGTAGGATTTTTTAGCCATGTAATCAGAATCGAGTTTTAGAAAACCGGTTCAATAAAATCGGTTTGAATAGTAAAATCATGGTTCAGTAAATGCTAATAAAAAACCCTAAATTTACCTTTACCAAATCTGAGTCCTGAGATCAAAACCCAATCGCGCGTCCTCCATCATCAGCGATTTTTGAAGAAATCGCCGGCGATTTCGTCGTCGTGAGTGGGCGTCTCTTTCTTCTTTAGGCGGCGTTGTTCTCTTCAGGAAGCGGTGTCGTCTCTCTTCAGTCGGCGGCGATTTGGCGTTCGTACTGTCTCCTTCTTCGACGGCGAGCTTAGTTCTGTGACTGTCATCTTCTGGCCATGAGGTGAGTATTTTCGTCATGGGCTCTTCAAGATTTCAACAAACATGTGTGCAAAATTTTCGTGTTGGACAGATTTACAATGATATTTGACCGCGATTTTTTTCTGTTGTGTTCTTCTTCGGCTGCGAATTTACAGGCTTACAGTGAATGTGTATTTCGGAGGGTGCACTGATTATGATGAGAGAGTTGAAGAGAGTTAGGTTTCGGTGGAGTTTGTCGATTTGGGGGTAAAAATAGATTTAGGGTTTGTTTTTTCAATCCGGTTTAACATTATAAAACCCGGTTCAATTCAATCTCATTTATTCCCTAAACCCGATTTATCAAAACCACCTTCTGCGCACGTGGAAATAAAATCTGACGTGGCTTCGCACATCACAATACACGTAGGATTGAGTTTCAGTCAAAATTGGTCAAATATTCATCTGGCACTTTTTAACAAGATTAGGATTTATTAAATCACTTTTTTCAAGTTCAGGAATTATTTGGCACGCTCGCAAGTTTAGGAATTTATTTTCTCGCACTTTGCAAGTTCAGGATTTTTTAGGGCTTTTTCCCTATTTTTAATAAGGTAATTTACCTAAATGTCTGATCTTCCGATACGAAATCAGGATTTGTCTGAATGGAAACTCGAGTCGTTGTCTTTGTTGTGGAATCCACGCCTCCCAATACGTCGTTCGTAGAGTATTCGAGTAATCTTACCGGTTCCTGCAATTAATAATGCATACATGCATAATGTTTATTAAAAAAAAATTGGTGATTATAATTTTCCTTCAAAAAAAATGGAAAAAGGAAAATGTACTTTGACGATGAGATCGACGGCCTTGTAGGCTGAATCAACAGGTCCATTCCCGACCGAGCAAGCCTTGTGTTCTTCTCCTTTTGGGTCAACCAGTTTGACCGTGGCCATTGACTGCCCAGCTGTTCCACACACCACCTATATATATATACGCCATTTAACTTACTTATACATAATATATATATACATATATATATATATATATATACACAGAGCTAGAGAGAGAGAGAGAATTGAAACTTGCAATGTTACCTGAACGTCTAGAAGCTTCCATGTAACTTCATATCGAGTAGTTTCGCCATCGGAAACCAATGCTATGATGTCGGCATCGCTAACTCTCTAAATGCACGACGATGGCAATGCATGCGAGGTTCCATGCAAGTATAATTATTATACATATACCCACAAAAATGCGCGTCGCTTTGTAATACGATATATAAGTAGTTGCATAGATTTGTTCATAGTGAACCTTTTTTTGGTCGGCTATAGCCTTGAAACGCCAAAACACAACGTTCAGCTTTTCATTGTCGAGTTCGTATCCGAGCTGTGGATCAAATTACCAAATGTTAATTATGACAGAGAATAATCTTGTTCGTTGGTTGAAGCTGGAGGCGGAAACAACGGACTGGAGATGTTGGAATGAGTCAACAGACTTATTCAAAGCTTGAATAACCAATTCCTCATTTCTCTCCGATTTGTTATTTTCAATTTGTTGCACGATTTTTTTCAGTCCTTTGCATTTGTTTATTTAAGGGTAAAGTGAAGTTAATAAAGTGTTGAGCTTTTCCCAAAACTCATTGTCGTCTCTTTCATGTTCTGTTTCAAGTGTTGAAAAACAGAGTAACAAAGCGGGTCTTTGTTACTACACTTGGTATCAGAGCACGGTTCGCCGTGAATGCCGAAATTCATGTCACGTGAAGAATCCTCAGGCAGTGCTGTCCGTGATCGGGACACCACTCAGACGACGACGAACATCGAAACAGGGCTCCAAGGAAAGGAGGGGAGTTTTTCGATTCAGTATCCTATGCTGACAAGGACGAACTATACGGTGTGGGCGATGAAGATGCAGATTTGCATGAAAGCCCAAGGTGTATGGGACACGGTCGTATCCGAAGGGCCAGTCGATGCAAAGAGAGACAACATGGCACTAGCAGCGATCTGTCAAAGCATTAGCGAGGAGACGTTTTTGCAGATCGGTGTTAAAAATACAGCCAGAGAAGCTTGGGAGGCACTGAGAATTCTCCATCTTAGAGTTGCGAGAGTGATGGAGGTCAGAGCACAAAATTTGCGATGGGAATTAGAAGGAAGCAAAATGGGAGAAAACGAGGGCATAGATGATTATGCAGGAAGAATCTTCACTATTGTAAGCAAGTTAAGATCACTGGGAGAGAAGGTTGAAGAAATCTACGTTGCCAAGAAAATTCTGAGGTCGGTATTGGCAAAATTCATTCCAGTGACATCAACATTTGAGAATGTTGGAGATCTGAAGAACACAAGTGCCGACGAAATCATCGGTGCTCTCAAAGCTCATGAAGAACGATTGAAGAGCTTTGAAAGCAACACAGATGAACATGTTCTGCTGACTCGAGGAAACCAAAAAGCAAGAGAAGGAGCGAGCAGCTCAGCTGAAAGGCGTACTCGAGATCAAGGAAACTCCAGAGGAAGGGGTCGTAACATGGGATATCGCGGCAGGGGACGCGGTAACCTCGGAAGAGGACGAAACTTTGACGTTTCGAGAATTCGCTGTTACAATTGCAATGAGCTTGGGCATTTTGCAGTTGACTGTGAACTGAAGAGAGAGGATGAGGAACAGGTTCATATAACTCAGCATAAAGAAGATGAACCTGCATTGCTGATGATGGAGATGGGTGAGCTGACCCACTCAGCAGAAGAAAGTAACAACAAGGTGTTGTTGAATGAAGAGAAAAGTGTGGATCTGAAGGAAAATCAGACAACAGAGACTACTTGGTACTATGATACTGGGGCAAGTAATCATATAACCGGAACCAATGAAGCTTTCACAAGTCTAGATGAAAGCATGAAGGGAAATGTCAGATTTGGAGATGGAACCTTGATCGAAGTTCAGGGAAGAGGCACAGTCACCTTCAGATGCAGAAACCATGAGCAGTTGAGGATGCACAATGTGTATTACATTCCCAGACTCAAAACCAATATCATCAGTCTCGGCCAATTGGACGAGTCCGGAGCAAAGATCATAATCGAAGGGGGACTAATGAAGGTATTCAATGTGAAGGGACAGCTGATGGCCAAAGTACCAAGAGCATCGAATCGATTGTACACCATGACAATCTTGCAAGAGCAAATCTGTCTGTTGACAGAAAAAGAGGAAGAAACATGTATCTGGCATGAAAGATATGGGCATCTGAACTACCCAGCCTTGAAGGAAATGGGAAGGAACAAATTGATCACTGGGTTGCCTGACATAAAGCCAACAGAGAAGAGTTGCGATGGTTGTCTTGTGGGAAAACAACATAGGCACAGTTTTCCCAGAGCAACCATGTTCAGAGCTAGCCGACCATTAGAGCTGGTACACGGAGACATTTGCGGACCTATAACGCCAACCACTCTTGGAGGAAACAGGTACTTTCTACTGCTCGTTGATGACTACAGTAGATTCATGTGGATTGACATGCTGAAAAACAAGAGTGAGGCTCTAGAGAATTTTAAGAAAATAAGATCAGCCGTAGAAAGGCAATCCGAAAGAAAGATCAAGATGCTACGAACTGATAGAGGAGGCGAGTTTACCTCTGGTGCGTTTAGTGATTTCTGTGAAGCACAGGGAATTCTCAGACAGCTTACTGCTCCATACTCGCCACAGCAGAATGGCGTGGTAGAAAGAAGAAATCAGACGGTGGTTGAGATGATCAGATGCTTATTATGAAGCAGAGCAGTACCTGATCTGTATTGGGGAGAAGCGGCAAGAACGGCGGTGTATCTCCTGAACAGATCACTCACTGCCAGTGTCAAGGATAAGACACCATATGAAGCCTGGTTTGGAAAGCCTCCAAACGTGTTTCATCTTAGAGTGTTCGGATGCATTGGTTATGCTAAAACAGTTGGTACTCATCTCAAGAAGCTAGAGGACAGAAGTGTGAAGCTGGTGATGCTCGGATATGAGCTAGGATCAAAAGCATACAGACTATTGAACCCAGATACCAACAGAATAGTGGTAAGCAGAGATGTGTTTTTCAAAGAAAAGGAGAGTTGGAGTTGGAAAAGCAAGGAAGAAGAACCACGAAGAACAACAGGTGCTCAGGTCACTGTAACAAGTAATCATGAGCTCGAAGTGTCTGATTCCATAACTCCCACGACACCAACACAACCTGAGGAAGACGTTCAAGGGGCTGAATCCTCAGGTGAAAGCAGTGAGAACAGTTTCATGAGACCAAGAGGGTTCAAGACATTGCAGGAGTTGTACGATACAACTCATGAAACTGAACTCGAGGAGAATTTATACCTGCTCTCAATCGAAGAACCAACCACATTCGAAGAAGCAGTTGGAAACGAGAGTTGGAAGGAAGCTATGGTCGAGGAAATCAGATCTATAAACCGAAATGGTACCTGGAAACTGGCTGATCTACCTGATGGACATCGCGCAATTGGGTTGAAATGGGTTTTTAAGCTGAAGAAAAATCCAGAGGGTGAAGTGATAAAAGCAAGATTGGTAGCAAGGGGATATGTTCAGAAGTTTGGGATTGACTACGAAGAAGTCTTTGCACCAGTTGCTCGGCTTGAAACAGTGAGGCTTCTTCTAGCATATGCAGCGCATGTGGGATAAGGTTCATCACATGGACGTAAAATCTGCCTTTCTGAACGGAGATTTGGAAGAGGAGGTATACGTTCGACAACCGACAGGTTTCGAAATAAAGGGAAAAGAGGAGAAGGTGCTGAGGTTAAGGAAAGCCCTGTATGGTTTAAAACAGGCACCCAGAGCCTGGAATCAGAAACTTGATCAGAGCCTTAAGAAGATTGGGTTCGACAGATGCAATCTGGAACATGGCGTATACAAGAGGGAAACAGATAAAGAAGTCCAGATTGTTGGCGTCTATGTCGATGACCTGATAATCCTGGGTTCGATGGCAGAGAACATAAAGAACTTCAAGAAGCAGATGCAAGAGTTGTTCGAAATGAGTGATTTGGGCTATCTCAGTTATTATCTGGGAATTGAGGTGAAACAGGAGCTCGAAAGTATAACTCTCAAGCAAACCGGTTATGCAGAGAGACTTCTAGAAAAAATGGGTATGTCTGATTGTAAGCCTTGTCGAGTTCCCATGGATTCCAGGATGAAGCTGAGCAAAGAAGATGACAGTCCACTGACAGATGCCACACTATACAGAAGCGTGATTGGAAGCTTAAGGTATCTGGTCCATACACGCCCTGATATTGCTTTCTCTGTTGGTGTTGTTAGTAGATTCATGGAAGCACCATCAACCAAGCACCTAAGCGCAGTGAAGCAGATTCTTCGTTACATTAGGGGAACGCTTAATTTTGGATGCAGATACACAAGAAGTGATAAAGAAGCCAGACTTGTTGGGTTCTGTGATAGTGATTTAGCAGGAGATGTTGACGACCGAAAGAGTACAACAGGGGTGATGTACTTTCTTGGGAGCAGCCTCATCACGTGGTTATCACAAAAACAGAAAGTGGTAGCCTTATCCTCTTGTGAAGCAGAATATGTGGCTACAACGGCAGGAGCTTGTCAGGGGATTTGGTTGGAAAGGTTGCTGTTCGAAATCAGAAGACACCAAAATCGAAGAGTAAAGCTGATGGTGGATAACAAGTCGGCAATTGCACTTGCACGGAATCCAGTTTACCACAGCAGAAGTAAGCATATCGAGGTGAAATATCATTTCATACGCGATTGCATCCAGAAGGGAGAGATTGAACTTGATTATGTGAGGACAGAAGAGCAAGTTGCAGACCTATTAACCAAACCACTGGCTAGAGACAGACTGGAAGAGTTACGTCACACAATTGGGGTCGGGAATCTGAAATCAAGGGAACAAGATTAGAAGGGAGAATGACAGAGAATAATCTTGTTCGTTGGTTGAAGCTGGAGGCGGAAACAACGGACTGGAGATGTTGGAATGAGTCAACAGACTTATTCAGAGCTTGAATAACCAATTCCTCATTTCTCTCCGATTTGTTATTTTCAATTTGTTGCACGATTTTTTTCAGTCCTTTGCATTTGTTTATTTAAGGGTAAAGTGAAGTTAATAAAGTGTTGAGCTTTTCCCAAAACTCATTGTCGTCTCTTTCATGTTCTGTTTCAAGTGTTGAAAAACAGAGTAACAAAGCGGGTCTTTGTTACTACAAATTAGGGGATACATGTTTAGATAACTTTGCCACCGGTTATAATTACGGGTATATATATAAGATATGAAAATATTATCTTAGATTATATATATATGTAATCGGATCAAACAATAATATTCAATGCAATCTCCAAGCAGCTATATATAAAAGATTAGTTAAGAACGAATACCTCTTTTAGTCGACTTTGCAATGCATGCCGGCCACTTTGAACAAATTAAAAACCAAAAAGAATAAGAACATGAAAGATTATACATATCACCAATTGCATGTATATATTAATTGAATATCATAAACAAATCATTAATCATATATATATATATATATATACGCACACGCGCACACACCTAAGCTTTCCAAGAACAATGCCGGAATTGTTGGCTCGTAGGAGCCCGACATCTTCCGGTGCTATGATCTCGTAGGTATTCTTGTGCTTCAGTACTCCATCCTGTGTGTTAACATTTACAAAAGTACCGAACGTTTTCAGATTCATTAATTTCGTCAAATTCAACTATTGTTCTTCGTCTTCCATGGCGTCTCGCCAACTGATGGATGCCGCTCTCGTGAACAAAAGCATTGGCTCCTACTATGGCCTTGTTTGGCTGCACATGCAAACCTGTGCACTCTTCAAGCTATACAGGTACACATATTAATTGTAGCATTCTCGATGTACATACATACATACATACATACATACATACATACATACATACATACATACATACATACATACATACATACATACATAGATACAAGTACGTGCTCACATAAAATTACCAGCTTGCTAGATGGGATAATTTGCCTCGTGTTAATTCCAGAATATAGGCCACCTAGAACATGTGGCCCTCGGCATTTCATAGCCATCACGACCTGCGCACAAAAAAACCCATGATGATGATGGTGATGGTGATGGTGATGATGACGATGATGATGATGGCACCTCTTCGAGCGATGCGTTTCCACCTCTCTCACCGATGCCGTTGACCGTGACTTCGATTTGTCTTGCTCCTGCGCATGCACCTTACGTACAGGCGCACGTGCATGTACAAATCAGAATAATATTATTCATTAGCAGTGACAAAAAAAAAAAACTTACGGCAAGTGTATTGGCAGTAGAAAGACCAAGATCATCGTGGCAGTGCACAGAGATTATTACATCATTAATCCCTCGAGTGTTCGCTTTAATGTCGGAGATAAGTTGTCCGAATTCGTTAGGGATGCTAAATCCAACTGTATCTGCAATGTTCAATGTCGTCGCACCCGCAGCTATCACTTCTCCTAAAATGCTGTACAAAAACTCCTTCTCCGACCTGCTTATATACAAATCTAACATAATTTCTATATATAAACCTATATACACATTCAAGAACCATATACTATATATGAAATGTACGTATATATTGGTGATTACGGGTACCTGCAAGCATCCTCAGGGCTGAATTGGACGTCGTCACAACCCAAATTCCTGGCGAAAGTAACCGTATTTGAAGCCATTTCGACGACCTTTTCGCGTGTGGTCCTCAGCTTATGCTTTATATGAAGATCGCTTGTCGAAATGAAAACGTGAATTCTCGGTCTTCTCGCGTGTTTAACCGCCTCCCATGCATCCGTTACGTCCTTCATGTTGCACCGTGCGAGACCGCATATCACTGGTACATAGTCCGTCTTCTTGTCCCACTATATATGGAAAAAGAACATAATTTAACTCTTTTGATCTTATTATAAAAACGGCATGCCGCTTTCGATTATTAAAAACGGCACGTGTTTTAGGTTTCCGATCCGTAAACGGAATGCATGTTAGGTGAATCACACCGGCTTCCTATATGATCTCTTTTTTTTTGGAAATGCATATCTATTTTGGGGGTTTCTAGACAAAGTTAGAGTTTTTTCCCGCCGTTGACTTAAATGGCTTTCTAGATCTTAAAGTCTCTATTTTTCTTTCTATACAAATGTTAAAAGTTTTTTTTGTTCATTAGGCAAAAAACTAGGTCTTGAAGATTCAATGGCAAGTGAACACCTCGTTTCCGACGGTCTTGGCGATGGTTTTGACCGCCTCGAAGTCGTCGGCAGAGGCGGCCGGGAAACCGGCGTCGATGACGTCGACGCCGAGCTTGGCGAGCTGCCGAGCAATGGCCAGCTTCTGCGTGGACGTGAGGGCGGCGCCGGGAGACTGTTCGCCGTCACGGAGGGTCGTGTCGAATATTCGGACGTAATTCTGGTCGGAGATACGGTTCGCTACGTATTCCGGTCGCCGGAGCGGAGATGCTGCGGCGTGGCAGTGGCGATGGTGGTGGAGAGAGAGAGCGGAGGACCGACTTAGGGCTAATGACCGGCGGATGGCAATTCTCAACGCCATTTTCGGACAAAACAAAACCACACGATACGACAGCTTTTGTGTGTGTGTTCGTTGATTGAAGATACGCATATACAGTCATAATATATATACAAGAAGCCGGTGAACTTCCGATTATCAATATACACGTGGGTATATATAATTGGTTGGGCGACTTGCCAGAGTTGAGAGCAATTAATAATTTAAATTAGTGGATTGGTAGGCAGTGTGACATAAAACATTAATTGACTCATTCAAGCTTGTATAATCCCCCCCCCCCCTCAAAATTAGTGAACATAAAACAGCAGTCCAAATTATTATTCAATTTTTTTTATTTACTTTGTTTTAAGAGCAATAAAAAATTAAAAAAATCCTATAACCGATTTCGAAAAAACAATATGCGAACTACATCTAGAATGAGTAGTCCATATGTGTTGTTGGAAAAATAAAATGTTAAAAAAATGCGAGTTTTATACGGAAAGAAAGTTGAATGCAGGCATTAATTTTGCGAAAAGTGGCATTTTAATAATTTGATTGTAATTACAAATTAGATAAAGTGCAAAAACTAATAAAAACGTGTAAAATATTCAATAATACATGTTTAGTTATTGAGTTTCTTGTGTCGGTGCGGGTGCCATTGGTGGTATGGATGTAAGTTACCTTCAATTTCTACTTGACATTAAATAAATCTAGTTATATTCTTTACCAAAAAAATTATAGTTTTATTATATATGGTTATAGTTTTATTATATATGGGAAAATGAAATATAAAGTGAATTATGTGAACAGATTTGAAAAAAAAAACAAGAGTTTGCGTTGCATATTATATATATAGAGAGAGAAGACAATAAAAGGGAATTTAAAAAGAAAAAACAATATTATAAATATAACTAATTAAAACAAACCAGTCCTGGATAACTGGTGAGATGGGGGTGCAAAGCACTTGTCCCGCCCCAAGTTCGAGCCCCAGGATGGGGAGGGGACCGAATATTTCAAAGCACATGGCTTACTCCCGGTCCGGAGATTAGTCTGGGTTTCGGTCCAGGACGCTCCGGTATCAAAAAAAAAACTAATTAAAACAAGAGATAGCATACACGACACGCACATCCATAAATCAAAACAAACAGAACCCATCGTTTCCGTACCCCCCAAAGATAAAACGTTGCCGAACTGTTTTGACTGAGAGAGGATGGCAGACGTGCCGTTTTTAATCAACACCAACGGCATGAATGTTACATCAGAAATCTGAAAACAGAACACATGAATCAGCAATCTAATTGGGCCGACCATTAGCCCAGAACCTGATGCAGTATTCGTAAATGATAATAAGCCCATTCGTAATATGTTTCATTTTATGTTAAAATAATGTTTTCCAATGTAATCTAATTTTCAATTCGAATGATAATAAATATCTGTATGGGCAAACTTTCGAGAGAATAAAACATCATATTATAATAACCATCAATGGACCTGTAACGTGTGTATATATATATATATATATATATTTCTGGTAAATTGTTATTAGAAATTCTAATAATATTGTTCAATGCTCCAATGTACGCCTTGACGCTCGAAACAACAATATCTGTCCCCACTCCCATTCCCCTGCGATTCATAATAATCATATGTATCAAAAATCTCAATTAAATCGATCGTTTGCATGGTTATAATTATAATATATATATATATATAGTAACGTACTCGAAGGTTTGAAGGGTTTCATGGGTTGACTGGCAATTTTTTCGAATAGAAACACGAATGGTTGAAATGGAGTCGATGCCTTCTGAAATGCCATCCATGGAGTATTCCAACAATGTAACAGCTTCCTGCATATACACACACTCTCACTATCATATAATATGTTATAATGACACGTGGCATTAATATATATATATATATATATATATATAAAGGAGAAGATGGTGAACTTTAACGATGAGGTCGACGGCTTTGTAGGCGGAATCAATCGGTCCAGTCCCGACAGAGCAAGCGACGTGTTCTTGTCCTTTCTTATCAACTAATGTGACAATAGCCGTTGATCGACTCAATGTCCCAGAACCACAAACCACCTGAACTTCTAGAAGCTTCCACGCGGGCTCATCAGATCGACAAGTATCAACATCTGAGACCAATGCCACAAGGTCTGCGTCCGTCACTCTCTGCATCATCCATTAATTGCAGTGTTAAATTTAATTAATAATAATACAAAATAATAATAATAATAATAATTATAATAATAACCTTTTTGAGTTCAGCCACAGCTTTGAATTTCAAGAAAACATGGTTTAGCTTTGTGTCGTCCATCTCGTAACCCAACTGACCAACCAAACCAATCACGACTTGTTAAACGTTGCACACTAGGGGTGGGCACGGGTCGGATACCCGGGAAAATCGAGAGATTTGGATTCGGATCCGGGAGGCTCGGGTATTTAACTATGAGATTTGTATCCGGGATTTGGTATTTACGAGTATCCGGGGTACGGGTATCCGGAATAATAGTCGGGTACTCGCGGATATCCGGATCCGGATTTATTTAAGAAAAACAACAATATTCATATATAAAATTTTTAAAACATGAAGATATATTTATAAAAATTGATGAATTATGATAAAATATATAAGACAAAAGAGATAATAAGAGACAAATAATAATAAATTTAATTTTTTTGAATTAATATTAAAAAAATATGAAATTATTTCATCTAAAATAATTGTATTTTATAAAAATGTTATATAAATATAAGATATAATTATTTATAATCATAATACGCGGGTACCCGCGGATATCCGGTTTTAAAAATTCTATTATCCGGATTTGGATCCGGATTCACGGGTATTGAAAAATAAGGATTTGGATTCGGATTTGAAAATTACGAGTACCCTAAAATCGGGTATCCGTGAGACGAGTATCCGACGGATACCCGATTTTCGGGTATTTGTGCCCAGCCCTAAT